ATATGTATATATCTATCCACCGCCTCGGCAAAATATTTAATAAGATAACAAGAAGGAACGCCATATTTACATATAAAAATATATTTTATCGTGATTGATCAGTGGATCTATGTATAATATACATGTACATATTATACGAATATAGATAAAACTTCTCTTAACATACGCCGCGATTCGTTTGATACGTTTCCATACATCACAATTTTCTTGGTAATCCGATGTAGTTACGGTAAGTAATGTATGTAATACCACAGAAGTGGAATGGTCCAATCTGGAGAACGTCCAATATTATTCGCTTCTTGATTTTGCTATAAACTTCTAAGCTGCAGTCTTTTCGTTAGACCATGACATTATCATAATATTGTTATCATGTTTATTAGAAAATTTTAAACTGTAAATATTCGATTGTTTTACACATTATGCATTACAAAATTAATACTGCTTACAGAAAAAAATATATAAAAACTTCTAATATATCTATAAATAATAATTACAAAATAATATATAAAATATAAGGAATTTCAAACAATTAAAATAACCCGTTTATGTAATTGTTGATATCGATAAAAAGATCTTATAATTACCTTACAAAAGTTACGTAATGTAAAAGTTTTTAAGAATCAATTAATTCAAGAATTAATTAGTTCAATGTTTCTATTGAATAATCTTTGTTAAGATTCTAGGAACTTAAAGTCATAGATCTCCTCCACTCTATTTAAATTGTAATTTCAATAGTAACTTTCAAAAATAATTATTACTGATTAATTCGCATTGCCTGGCAGCATTATTGTAACGTAAAACGAGTCGATTATTTACTTATACCTCCGTCATCATTGAACACGCTGGCGTTCTTATTAAACGAAACGCGCTCCACAAAGAAGAATGGATTCCGAATGCAATTAAATATTCCGCGAATATACAAGAGGCCGCACGCCAGTCTATTTGTGCGGAAAATTGCATGACTTTCCCGTTAACTAGGTCGAGCGTTCGGTTGCTCTTAGCAAACAAGCAGCGAATCCTTGTTGGCACTTACGTCAATACGTACCCGCGAATATTGGATAGTCTGCTTTGAATAGTAGAGAAATACGCCATTGCCGTAAGGTAACTAACAGGAAGAAAAGAAAAGAGGACTTTCTCGGTATATCCTCGACAAGAAGGAGCATCTTCCTTCGGCTATGTCCAAATTGGACCCATCCTCTTCCATATTCCGTACATGGTGTCCTGAATGCGCTGCATGCGAAAATACTTTTTCTTTTCAGAGTACTGCGAGTACCATGTGAATATAAGTTCTTGTTACGCGACGTACGCACGCTTGCAGAGGACTAGTGAAATATTTGTTTCTCTGTTTATGCCTTCTTTTTCATATACAATTTTCGTTTGCGTCGCTTATAATTACAATTTAATTATCAAAAAGTTCCAGGATAGCAGGTAATCTGAGATAGTTGTTAAAAAGATGAAGTTAAAAAAATTCATGAAAAAGAAAACCTGATACATTAATTTGTCCGCAATCAATTTCTCATTTGAAAAATTTACCGTTAAATGCAGACACTGTATGTGTATTTTCATTAATTCGTTACAAATGTCGATTGCATGTGGCGATTTTTTAAATTTAATATGTCACCGCGACAATTAGATTTCACTAACAATGACTAATCGCGGCGCAGAGTAAATGGACATGTCGTTGTCACGTTTATTGTCAAATTAATAGACGAGTGTTACTCGGTTCACAATACGATATAATAACAACTACACCTATGTATAAACGCTATACATTTTATTACATTAAAAATATTAGTGTTTATTTCTTCAAACATACTTAAAAAGTGGCAAATTTAAAATAATTATTTAATAATATTTCAATATTAAATCAAATTGTTAAAATTATAAAGTAATTATAAACCAGGATTGGCAGAAAAACCCAGTTTACAAAAATCCACAGGGTTTTTGTATGAGAACTCAAATGCAAAAATCCAGATGCACATGATATATACATATATATATATATATATATATATATATATATATACACATGGTCTGTCCCAAAAGTAATGAGACTAATTTTGGCGTCCCAATTACAATTGTTGGAGGGTGAATTCATTGGATAGCGTCTTTGGTACAGGATGTCAGGTATATGTATAGTCTGGCTCTTTCCCGTTATCTCCAAGTCTTTCTAGCAATCGATACCGTCAATAAAGTGCGTTGTAATTTTTTATGTCTTGTCATGGGCGAAAATTCAATAGTCTCGAGTAGCGATCAAATTCTGCGTGAAACTGGACAAATTTTATTTTGAAACGTTGGAAATGTTGAGAACAGCTTATGGAAATGCTGCCTTGTCTTCAGAATTTGATCATTGCTCAAAATACAGCAGTCTGTGCTGAATTTTCGTTCGTGACAAAACATAAAAATTACAAATGTACTTTGCTGACAGTATCGACTGCTAGAAAGACTCATCAGAGGCAACTGAGAAGGGTCAGATTGTATACCTGACATCCTGCACCAAAAGCCCAGAGGGGAGGACCATGCATGGATTCACTCCCCACAATTCTGATTGAGCCCCCAAAAAATAGTCTCATTACTTTTGGGACAGACCATGTATATATACGTATATATAATGTGATTGTATTGCATAATATTAATATATCTTTGCATCTTTAAAACTACTCAATAAAATAGCAACATATTTATTATACTTAATTATCAATTTATTAAACTCATAATACGTTATATAATAAATGAAGTTATATAATAAGTTATATAATAAGTTATATAACTTACAGTGAAGTTACTGAAGTTACATAATAAGTTATATAATAAATGAATAATTATATCAGTCCACGAAAAAATATAGGTAATATTACACTCTATAATTGTAATAGCATTATAAGATAGACTAGTTAAGAAACTAAACTAACTAGACCAGCTAAAAACTGAAACTTTAATTATTATAACAGTAAAATCAAAAGCAGATAAAACCAAAGTAAACCAAAGCAGATAAAATTAAAAACATCATAAAAACTAAAAACAGTTTATAAATCTAGTTTAAACAAAAAAGATAAAAACTCAAAAACTAAAAATATCTGTTAAATATTTAAATTTTTAGTTTTGTAATTTTTTAGTTTGCCAATATCGATATATCTTAATTAGTTTTTCAACTTTTTTGCTCAGATTACGTTTTTGTCAAACAGATACTACGTTTTTAAAACAATATAAATGGCTGTACTAAAAACCTACAAAAACCCTCAAAAACCACAAAATTTGGGTTTTTTTGAAAAAGCTAGGTTTTTGCCAATCCTGTTATAAACTTTTTAACACTTTTATTCTATCAAATAATTTATCTCTTTTATCATAATTTTTTACAGGTTATTTCAGCTATATCCATTTTGAGGAATTTGGGATTGAATTTCATTATTATTTACCTTCAGGACACCATGTACAATTGTATCAGTCCAAACATTTCTTCGGGGTCGTTCTTCGGATTTCACCTATTACCTGGAAGTTATAACAAGGTTGTTCTATTAAGTTTATTCGGTCGGGTCATGCAGACTGTTCGTTAGTTTCGCTTGCGTTTCTTCGCATGTAACTCGTTCGGCTCCTGTTTCATGGCTCTTTTCCACCCTCTTTCGCTTCGCTCTTACGCGATGTGGTGTGGCGAATGGCGCACAAATAATTCACGGTATTTTGAGTATAAAAGCACTTCTGAGCCGGGAGTTTCGCAAAATGAAATTGCAAGATGGAATAACAAACAGAGACGGAAGAAAAAGGAAAGGAGGAAGAACGAGGAACGCAAGGCATAAAAAGAATGGCACAAGCGAAATATCTTTTCGTTATTTCACATCCTCGGATGCATTGCATTTCTCAATTATTGATTGACGCGTGATAACTAAATCTGCATAAATCAATAATCGCGTTTCCATCTGCTTCCGATATTTGAATCGCAAAAGAATTCTTATTTCTTGAGAAGCAATCACGCGAGTATTGATAAAAAAATATTAGTTAATTAGATAATTCATTCTTTGTCATGTAATTTTTTTTAAATATTTTATCTTTGAATTTAAAAATAGAATGAAATTAGGCAAAATTGACAAGCTATTGACATAAAAATGTGAATATTAATACGAGAAATTTATCATTAGAGATATAAAAGCGTTTGCAAATTTATACAATCTCTTTTCGCTCTTTTAAAATTTTCTTCTATTAAACGATTTTCTATTAAAATGAGAATATAAATTTTTAGTTTCTTATTAAAAAAATTTGATAAATTGAAATACCTCTATCAAATTTTTTGAACTTATTTTAAAATTGCTTGAGGTTTGTACGTTTTAAAGCAATTAAGTATTACTCGAATTCATATTAAAATTCATAAAAATTACGTTAATCAAAACAATAAATAAACCAAAAAAACATGTACAAATTTTATAAACACCTGATATGCAAATAATAAATTTGATTTAAAAATATTAGTATTTTTATAGTTTTCAATGTTCTGACGTAAATTTCCATATTTGTCAAAACATGTTTTAATTTCCTCATGTGGTTCTCGAAAATTAAAGAGCAAACGAAGCTTGTAATGTGATCGTTTGAAGCGAATTGGGTGATTTAATCAGTGGAAAATAGTGGTTTGTTTGCTGTTAATTATTTTCTACGTTATACTTTACTGTGTGAACTTCCTTCCTCCATAGCGTTCTCTTTCTTTGCAATAGCAAAACGTGCCGAGTTTCCTGTCGCGATATTTGCTGATACTCAGCACTGTCCCACTTACCGAGCCTTTTCTTTTCTAAAATAACGCTTGTAGGAAAAACTTGCGTGATGTATACAGTAAAAATCTGGTGAATATTTTCTCGAAAGAAGAAAGTACATATTATACAATCTGCCATCTGGACTATAAATATATAAAGTACTTCAAATTAATATCGCAAAAGTCAATTATAGCAAGTCACATTATTTCAAATTTACAAATTAAAAAGCATATTAAATTTTAATATAATTTATATATTAGATAGTGGAAATATAAAAAAAATTCATATTATTTAAGAAAGTTTATGTACCACACATAATTTGTTAGAGATACATGTATAACATATTGTACTTCGCAATAAAGTCGACTTACAATAAACTATGAATTACCATTGTTAAATTTTTTACAATATTGGCTATGCACTCCGCATTTAGAATATTGTAAAGAATTCACCTCACCGTTATGACGTCATAGCTTTCGAGGGAATGAAATTTACTTCGACAAAAGAGCAATTCTTCTTGTAAATAAAGGTTCTGAAGGAGCGTATGGTGTGCCATTGGCTTCACCGTCACAGCAAACGTCTCGTCTTATCGACACGCGGATATTCTTCACCATCAGACGGCAATGAGCAAAGGACGTTGAAGTCTTCGCAAAGAGTTTTCCTCGATTTATTTCGACACGAAAGTAAATTAATAATCTGTACACTAGTGGCCCACTTTATTAAATTTTTGTCTCGATGAAGAATCTTCCGTCCGCTATCTCTTCCCGTGAGATCCTTGAGAGCGTCTGTCTTAATTTTCATCTGTTGTTTCAATTCACGTCGGAAAATCGTCACTACGAGTTTTCAATTTTCAAGCTCTTCGAAATTACGTTCACGCGTAAAATATTTTGCACCACTAACGTTGCGACGCGAAAAACCGTACGACTACTGCTCGATATTATCAAAACAAGTTTGAATCACGCTTTTACGTGCACTGCGGCTAATCACCAATCAAAGAGATGATGCGTAAACACAGTGGAGAATGTACAACCATTGCACACCAAGCTGCATCGTTGCACCTGGCCTGTCCACGCATACCGCGACGTGCTATGACCTGCGAATGCATCCGAATTGAAAATCCAGAAGTTATTGGAGTAATCTGTAACAAAAAAAAAGAATAAATTTGTGCATTTTTTCCATTAATTTGTCAGAAATAAAGAATTAAATAAATTAACAAATAATTTATATATATTGTTTAATTAATTGATTTTGATCGAAGTAAGTATTAGATATAAATACATTATTTTAATAATAAATTGATGTGGATTTCGAACATGTGTGTATGTTTATATATACTCTACTTTTTCATTTTTTAAATAATTTAAACATTTAGCCGGAAAAAACTAAATTTATATGATTATTAAATATTTTTTATTGTGGCGCAAAGAGTTGTGCGTTTAATTGTTTTCTATTGAGGCGCAAAAAATCTGTGTTCAAATCCCTCCGATCAACAATATCGAATTTTTATTCGCTACACGGAAAGAACGATTTTGCTGGAAGGTCAAAATTGAATCTGAAAATAAGTTTGTTGCACGGAAATCAAAATAATTTTGTTGGAAACTCAAAAATAATAAGCATTGCTATAAAATATTTTGATATTAGAGCAAAACAGCACACGTTCCAACAAAATTATTTTGATTTCCGTGCAACAAAATTATTTTCAGATCCAATTTTAATTTTTCAACAAAACTGTTCTTTCCGTGTATCTCTCGAAAGGCAATGGCAAGTCATTGAGATTATATCTTGCCATAAGAATCCTTCTAATTAGTTAAGGCCATTCGAAACCAACGTTAAACTGTAGATCCCGTATATCTGCGTAAATTATAAATAGCGCGCATCATAGAAATATGATGTGGGGTTACTACTTTGATAAGAGTAAAAGGATTGAGAAGAATCGAATAATTCGGCCATAAATTGATAAGGAATTTTGTATGTTACTGAACTATGGTATAGCTGATATATTTACATTAAAAAGTAGTTAATTTATATATAAAAGTTTAGTTATGTTAATTGTCAATATTTATTATATAGATAAGCGGATAAAGAAGAAAGTAAAATTGTAAGACAAACAAGCATATCAAATTTGGTACAATTTTAAATAAACAATTGTAATCAATACTATTTATTTATTTTTATCTTTAAAAAAGATAAGCCTGTTCTATTCAGTTCAGTTATTATTATGGTCAATTTAAATTTTTAAAATTTTGAAATTTTAAAATTTTTCTTCTATTATTTTAAATATTATTTTGTATATTTTTATAAAGTAGAATCTTCATATTTTATGCTTCATATGTTTGTTATTCATAAATACACATTTATAGAAGCCGTTCCAATTATGGGTGATAAAACGTGAATATATCTTACAATTAGTATAATATAATTAAATATATGCAACATGGTTCTTGCATTTTCTTTTACGACATTCCTTGATCAATTTAACGTTAATGTTTCTTAAATAAATAACATAAATCAAAAGAATTACCGGAATATTTTAAATATATGTTTATAATCTCGTGCTTTATTTTTATTTGTAAATTACGTTAACACAAATGCAAAGGAATGATCAGAATACACCTGAGCATCACAATTTGCTTACATTTTCAGAAAAGATTAAGGAATCTATGCATAAAGACAGATATGGTAATACTTAAATGAGTTGCACGGTGTAGCTTTTAGAAGAAACTCTATCTTACATAGTGTATCGCTCGCTTCATCTTCGCCTATCTTACGGTGTAATCATTTGCTTCTCCCCCACCCCGTCCATCCCCGCCTCCCGGGGGGTAAAAATCGTGTACTCCGAGCAAACGCTTCGCAACAAAAAAAAGCTCGTATTACCATAGTCTGGCGCGGCGCATTTGACTCACAGAAAAGGTTATTTCCCTTATCCGTTCCCTTTGCCAGAGATTTGGTCGCGAAAACCGCTGTTTACACGATCGATGGTAATGCGGGTGCGAGAATGTTACCTATATTCGCTCACATGGCGGATGCGAATTACGATTAGGACACGGTGAGAGGGCGGCGGCGGATGAGTGGCGCTGTATAGTTTAAGTACGTTTCATTTGAATATATTAATTATTCATTTTACATACATGCCGCGCGGAAGCCGCGTATCGCGTTAATCCTCGCACGATTACCAAGTATGTCGAGCACGATTTTGCGCCGATCACGATTCATCGCTTGCATTTATGCGTGATGAAATAATTTGCTGCTTGCACAACGTAAACTGGTGTCCCAATTAATGACTTTCGTTAATCTTTACATTCGCGATCATTTCCTTTTGAAGAAAAGTCTTATGGTATTCTATATGATTATACATTCATTTCGTAAATGGTCGCGAAATTATTGAGATTAGTTTGAAATGTAAGACGAACAAACACAAAACGGTACGATTCAACACAATTCAATGAAATTTTCTAAAATTTATTTAAGATTATTAGTCGTAACCAAGATTTCTCTTGAAGAGTTGTGTACTGATTTTCTGATTCTGCAAATAAATCTAAAAATAATATTAAAATCTAATTTTTTATTTCCAATACACAATATACGTATAATTTTTATCTAATTTAATATCAAAAATTTTATAATATAAATTGAATTTTTTTGTTTATCCTTTAGATTTTTCCTTTATTTATATATATAATATATGTATACGTTATGTTTTAACACATAATTAAATACATTGTTTAATACTCATAACAATTTTGTTCTTTTAATAAGACATTTAATAAGACATCAAATAAATTTAAAAACATTATCTCATATATTACCTTAATCTTAAAGTAACTTAAAATGTACCTTAGTCATCTTTTAATTTAAATCAACGTATAAATTTTCCGTCACTCTTCATTCATTAATCAAAAAGAATTGATTGATGCTTTATTTTAGAAGTTTTATGATATTTCGATACTATTTAATATATTCTTAAAATTATAAGTCTTAAAATAAATCTAGATTTTAAATTTCGACTGACAATAAGTTATGAAAGATCTCATGTTGTTTTAAATACTGCATATTAATCGCCCAAGCTTAATAATAGTCGTATCGAGAATTGAATTTACAACAAAAGTCAAATTATAAAATTATATCCCATGTAATATAAACGATTTGTTAATAAAGATATTAAATATCATAACAAAATATTATTGACAATATCGCACTTGGCATCGTCATCAGTACGAATAAGCAAAATTTGGAGAGATAGATGAGTCATATATAGCTTTTGAAAATTATGCTCACGCTATTAATACTTCACGCAAAATATGTACATATAATATCGACAAACATTATTAACATTTGTGATTTATGGCATAGTAATCTATCACAGTCATTGTATATTAATTTCAATTGATAGTTAATAAATGCACATCAAGAGATACATGCAGAGATACGACCTCCGCTATTCTCTATTATAATTAACCGATGATTATGTCTGTAGGGCAACGCTGCATGTAAACAAGTAGGTCATCAATATCAGTATGTCACTGCAAACCGATTATAATCACTTTAAGGCGATGTACAAATATTGATGTGGCAATACTAATGAATTTATTTATCGAAAAATTTGTATTTACATGCAGTTTCATTTATATAATATTCTTTAATTTGTATCAATAGTTTCCCCGTGCGTTTATTTCACGTAAATTATTTTTCGCAATAAAGGATGTAGCATGCGATATTTATGTACCTAATGATTGATACACACATTAATTATGTAAAATTGAATATGGAAATAGAATAGATCCGCATACAACTAATTACGCGAGTTATTGAATCGATAAGAAATACAATACCGTAATTGTGTATTTCGACGTGTTCTTCGAATATTGGTACAATTTTCCGGTTCACACAAATGCCAAAATAATTTTAAATGCCTGCCAGAATGAAGGGGCATTACCGATTAATGTAATTTCATTTTTCAATTTGAATTTTACGATTTAAATTTCAATTAATATTTGCCTTCATTTAAATATTATTAAACACGACATTATTATATTATGGTGTCGAGGAGTGAGATCTTTTTTTTACACAGTAATTCGAGATTGAATAGGTTAATAAGCTCGACAAGCAATTTCAACGATCCAATTCTTCGCGGTTCATCGATGCGTCACTCCCGTTATTCCACATCGCCGAAGATCGTTCGCAAAATAAGTTGCTCATATATTCACAATATCCGCGCGGGCGGAAACCATTTTTTTTCCACTGCGCACCACCGCACCGCGCGCTGGGGGAAAATAATAATACATATTTCCGCGAACAAACACACACATCACCCTCTCGGCGTCGGAGAAAATAATACTGATGGGACAAAAATAAATTTCGATTAGCTGTGTGTTGCTGGAACGGGAGGGAAAAAAGGTGGCGGTTCCACGCGGAAATGCCGATCGCTGCGACAGATAGGGCGAACAGCTCGCGGTCCGCACTGTATAATAGATATTTAAATCCTGCGGTCTGCGAAAGCCGATGCGTTGTGGCTCGCAGTGCTGTTGAATATCGATATTATTTCATTTTGCGACAGCGTGAGTGCGAGCGGAAACAGGAATGAGATTATTGGTGACAATGTTACATAGGCCGTCCTACAAGCCATAATATACCTTTTAATAACTTGCTTTCTAACAAATTGTTATAAATGTAATTATAAAATAGTATAATGTTACAAATAATTATGGTAGGTTAAATTATATTAAATAAAATTTTTAAGAAATTAGGCTTTAAAAGCACATTAATTATATGTATATTATTGTTTTTTAATTAATTTCCCGTGAATTATATTATTTCGACAAAAATACGTAATTAAATCTTGATTACATTAAGATAGAAAAATTTCATCAAATTTCTACAACATAAAAACTGAATTTGAAATTTCTTAAGGCATGGACAAATAGCAGGATTTTAAGGGATTTGAGACATTTGTACGTAGCGAAATGTACATATATGTATATGGAATATGTACTACCAGCTAGACACGTTACAATATTCCACAGTTGCAAAAATTGCAGCCATTGCACGAGTTAAACAAGATGATAAACAAATACACGAAGTTGCAGATGCAATGGTTACATCGTGGAATATGTTGAATATACAACAAACGTGGTTTTATTG